TCAGACATCGTATTGCACTGGGAAAATCTGCTGCAAAAGACCTCTTTAAAATGTTAAGTAGCAAAGATGTCTCTTTGAAGACTAAGGTACACCTAACCCAAGCCATGGTGTTTTCAGTCACCTCATATGTATGTGAAAGTTGGACAATGAATAAGGAAGGCCGAAGAAGAGTTGATGCTTTGAGTTGTGGTGTTGGCGAAGAATGCTGAAAGTACCATGGAGTGCCAGAACGAACAAATCTGTCCTGGAAGAAGTGCAGCTGCAATGACCCTTGGAAGCAAGAACGGCCAGACTTCATCTCACCTACTTAGGTCATGTTGTGCGAAGAACTGGTCCTGGAGAAGGATGTCGTCCTTGGTGAAGTGAAGGGGCAGCCAAAAGGTGAAGACCCTCAACAAGATGAATTGACACAGTGGCTGGAATGACAGGCTCAAGCATAACAAAAGTTGTGAGGCTGGTGCGGGACCAGGCAGTGTTTCATTCCGTTGTACATAGGGTCACTGTGAGTTGGAATCGACGCCATGGCACCTAATAACAACAACAACTATACGATCCAGGCACTCTTCTGGGTACCAGGAAAACAGCTGTAAACAGACAGGAACCCCTGCCCTCAAGGCACGTTATCTTCCATATGTTTTCTGTTGTGTTTTTACATTGTTGTGTTTCAAATTATTTCACATAAAACTATCATTGGAAGTTTCTTGATTTGCTGAATGACTCTTCTCTGGTGGGTTGTTTCTGCCTTTTAATGTTGACAGACAGACAGAAGTGCAGGCCGTTCCAAGGTCGGTGTCTCCTTCTCGTCTCCACAGACTCTGGGCCCCGAGAGAAGTCCCCTCCCCTGCCTCTGACTGGCCCACTCTGAAGCTCGCGCATCCAGCCCTCTCCATCCACTCTGTCCTCAGTACTCCTCTTACTGATCTTATCTTGGTAGTCCCTGGAACCCACACTGTCCCTGCTGGCACCCCCTCTGGTCTCCTTCGTCCAGACACAGTAAATGTTCCCTGCTTCCTCACCACCCCAGCTCCTCCCACCAGAAGCAGCACCCAGCCGCCGCCATCACGCCACCCCCTCCAAGTGCAGAGTGTCAAGTTAGTAATTAGATTGACTTTATTAGGTGTTAGACCCAAAACACCAAACCAGCTGCCAGGGAGTTGGTTCCAACCCGTGAGTCAGAGGAGAACGGTGCCCTCGGGGTGTTTAGTGGCTGATTTTTTGGACACAGATTGACAGGCCTTTCTTCAGAGGTGCCTCTGGCTGGATTTGAACCGCCGAACTTTTGGTCTGTGGCTGAGCACTGATACCTCGTGAGGTATTAGATCAAGTTTGTGAGGTATTAGATTGATTATTAATTTATCATCCGATTCCCGCATCTTTGTTCCTTTGCCCTGGGTCTAGGTACAGGGTCGCTCTCCTCCGTTTGCTTTGTACATGTTGGTGTTACCCTTTCTGTGAATTGCACTGTCACGAGGTCTTTGTCCTATTTCATGATCGTTACCTGGAATTCAACTTTGTTCAAAGTGCAGATTGAGGCCCTAGTTACCTAGCACTGCTGTAACAGAAATGCTACGAATGGGTGGCTTTAACAAACAAATTAATTCTCTCCCAGCTTAGGAGGCCAGAAGTCCAAAGTCAGGCTGCTAGCTCTTGGGGAAGGCTTTCTGTCTGTTGGCTCACAGTTTAGAAGGAAGATCCCTGTCTTCTTCCAGCATCCTTGGGCCTGATGTTCTTGGAGACCTCCATTGTCTTGGCATCAATCTTCCTTTGGGTCTAGGAGGTGGGCAGCACAGGGACCCTGAGTCCAGAGGGCTTACTCCTTTCCTGGCTCTTCTTTCTTGATGGTAGGAAGTCCTTCTCTCTTCTTTTTTCTCTTGTAAGATAAAAAGTGATGCAATCAGATAGATACACTCCACAGAGAGATCAGTCAGGGAGAACAGAAGGAGACGGCTCAGAGAGCAGGAGTGCATGGGAGGGAAGGACACGGGGAGGGGTAACTATGGGGAGGAAGTGGGAGGGGAGCTGTTGCATTGTGGGAAATTGCAATCAATGTCATGAGACAAAATGTGTGTGGATTGCTGTATGCAAAATGAATTTTCTCTGTAAACTTTCAGCCAAAACACAATAAAAATTTAAAATAAGTTAAAAAAGAAAAGGGGGATGCAAGCCACGCTCCAGGGAAACTCCCCTGAGGAGCTGTGGCCACAGGGCTGTTGCATCCCACCCCAAGCTCCTTACAGTTGGCTGGTCTCAGCAGGGCACGTCATCACAGAACTGCCAAACCACTAACAGTCACGGCCCTGCCACGCTGACACGTGGTTTTGAGGGACACAGCCAATCCATGACAGGGCCCTTTCCCTCTGGAAAGTTCTGGCCAAGACCCTCCAGTCCTCTCCACCCTCAGCTCCCCCCACCCTGACTGGCCAGTCCGTCCACAGTGGTCGCCTTCCCCGACGAGGCACAGAGGGGGAACGCTTTTGTCATGTCCTCTCAGCTTGACTGGCTGCTTCAAAACGGGTGCTGTTCATCCCCTGGCCGTAAGGACAGCCAGCCATGGCCATCATTCTGTCACCCAGGGCCACATTACTCAGTAAACAAGGTAAGCACAGTTATGCTTGCTTACTGGATCTGCAGTGATAGAGTATTTCACGTGAGTTTCACTCCATGTGAAACTGTTCCCTTCAGATTAATAAGCACAAGTAAGCCCGTGCTTACCTGGCCTACTAGACACTCCACACCTGTCAGGGACTGTAAATTTTGAAGAGGGTTTGACGCTGTAGGAAGGGGCTGTGGGGTTGGGAGGAGGACAGGCGCGGCCACACCTAGAAGCAGAATCTCTAATGTGTTGAAAACACATGAACCGTTCGCTACAGATGAGTAAGGAAGCACACGCAAACTCGTGCTTACCTCGCTCACCGCTTAATCGCCCCCTGCTCTTGCCATCCTGGGCCGTCCCTGGCGGTGCCGGGGCAGATGACCCGTGGCCCTCCTCTCTCCCCCGCCCCCATAGACCCTGCCCCAGACGCCCCTTACTCGTGTCACCCCAACCCTGGGCTCCTCTCGTAGGAAGCCGAGACTGAGGACACACGCCCACCCCCCTTGGTCGCCTCCAGTCTGGCCGCCAACCTCCGCAGCGGGCTCTGCTCCCCGCCCGGCCCTTTGAGTTCTGCCCTACGTTCGGCCCAGTGCTTTGCTGTCCAGATCCTTTCTGTCAACAGCTGCTTCTCCTCGGTCCACGAATGTTATCCCCTCCTTGTCCCTAAATCGAAACTGTTCATCAAAACAAAACTGGGTTGACAAAGACCACCACCAGTTGATGTGATCATGTGACTTACGTTTACTGTTTGACAAAAAAAAAAAATGAGAACTCAGGAAGCAATGAAACGGGCGAGCTTGCGACAGCGGAGCGAAGACTGGCAGCGCCTTAAGCAACAGGTGAGCCACTTCCGGGCCCTTGGCAAGAGCCCCCGCCTTGTGCGGTAAGAGACTGGGGAAAATCAACAGTCAGCATGCTTGTAGCAGGGTGGCTTGTTGCGAAACTGGAGTTAGCCAAACGCACAAAGGTTGGAGAGGCACAGCCACCAGGGGGAGACATCAGCACCCCGTCCACGCTGCTGCCAACGAGGGGCAGCCCGTGCGCCCGGAAGGAGACGCAGGTTCAAAGACCGCCCCCCGCAGGCTGCGGAGAACGCGCGCGACGGTTCTCCAGGCACGCAGCCGCGCCCGCTCCTCGTCATCCTGTCTGGGGAGAGGATATTTGCCCACAAGAGGCCCGGAAACGTGCGCCCGCAGGCCCTTTGCACAGGCTTCCTGCGCCCTGTGCTGTGCACACACGGGGGAAGGCTTCCAGGCGGGGACTGGACGGGAGCGTCTGTGTGTCGGTCTGTGTGTCCCACTTCCCTTAAGGAGCATTACGGCTTCTGTCTCAGTGATAGATGAATGGGGAGGGTTTCTGCTGCATCTGCACTCCCCGAACCTTCCTCACACTTGCCACCGCCCCTTCCTTCCAAGCTGCTCTGCCTCTGGGGAGGTCTTACCCCCAGTCCCACCCAAACAGTGGTTGGCTGGGTTTTCCCTGGGAACCTCACGCGGGGCTCAGGGAGAGTAAAGCACGTGAGGTGGGTGTCTCTGGGGCTGCTGGCCAGGTCTGAGCCACCCTCTCAGCTACACCTGCACCCCCTGTCCCCAAGCAGACATGGGCATATCTGCAGGAGCCGGCCCCCACGCCTGTTCTAGCTCCTGGCTCCCTGAGGGACCTCTACCTGGTGGGTGGTCAGGAGGCCCAAGCCCACTCCTTTCTCCAGGGAACAGTGGGGACAATTTGGTAACCTGTCCATCGGGGGACACCTGTCTTGGGGGGACATTGAAGGCACCAGCCACTCAGGGCAGTGGGAAGATTTGGGGGGACAGGGCATCCCTGTGGCTGGGAGAGCAGGTGGTCAGAGACATGGATCTGGAGCTGAAGGGTAACGTGAGCTAGAGGGGGCGTGAGGAGCCCAAAGAGGATGGGGTGGCCCACAGTAGACAGACAGGAGGGGGGATGAGGAGCCCACAGAGGACAGAGGGGAGGGGGCTCCCAGAAGATGGAAAGGAGGGGCCTGAGAAACCCACAGAGGTCAGAGGGGAGGTGAGCCCACAGAAGGTAGAGGAGGGGGGATGAGGAGCCCACAGAGGACAGAGGTGGGGGGCTCACAGAGGATGGAGAGGAGAAGGGCCTTGCAAAGGGCAGAGAGGAGGGGGCCTGCCACAGAGGATAAAGGGGAGGAGACCCCCACAGAGGACAGGAGAGAACTGGACCAGGGAACTGGTAGCAGACAAAGGGGAAGGGGGATAGCTGGACCCCCTGGGATGCAGGGGGGCTCATCATCCCAGCCCACCCACCACCCAAGGTCACAGAGCTAAATCGATCCCTGAGGGCATCCAGTTGCAGGAACAGAGCCCATGCCTGCCCTCCTCCGTCTGTGCAGGGTCTCAGCTCTCTCTCTCTCTGTGTCCCCCCCCAGGTGTCTTTCTGCCCCCACCAACAGCAGCCAACCAGCCGGGCCTGGAAGATGGGGGGATGGTAACCCTGGCGCCCCTGGCCGACATGCTGAGCAGCCCACAGCCAAGCCCCGTCACGGGCTCCATCATGAACCCCCTGACGGGCCAGCTCAACACACTGCTGTCTGGCTCCATGCCCATGTCCCAGAGCCACCAGCTTGGCAGCCTCCTGGCTGGCCCAGTGGGAGTGCCCCCAGCCAGCACGCTGACCAGCTCCCTGGGTGCGCCTTGTACCGGCCCCCTGACTCCAGGCAGCCCCCTGACAGTGCCCCCAGCAGGCACACTGGCCAGCTCCCTCGGCCTGCCTTCCACCGGCCCCCTGAGCAGCCCTCTGACTGGCCCCCTGACTCCAAACAGCCCCATGGTGGTAGCCCCAATGGGCACACTCACCAGCTCCCTGGGCACAATTTCCACTGGTCCCCTGACCGGCCCCCTGACTCCAAGCAGCCCCATGACGGTGCCCCCAGCGGGCACACTGGCCAGCTCCCTGGGCCCGCTTTCCACTGGCCCCCTGAATCCAAGCAGCCCCATGACGGTGCCCCCGGCGGGCACACTGGCCAGCTCCCTGGGCCCGCTTTCCACTGGCCCCCTGACTCCAAGCAGCCCCCTGCAGGCCCCTGCGACAGCGCCTCTGGCTGTACCTCAGAACCTGCTGACCAATCCCGTGGGCAACCTGGTGTTGTCAGAGACCACAAGGGTACGGCTGTCAGAGGCTACACGCAGGTGCTCCTCCGGGCCCCAGCCCCCAGCCGGCTCGGGGCCTGCGGCCCCCTCCAAAGGTAACAGGCACTGGAGGGGAGGGGTGACAGAGTGCTTTGGGGAGTGGGCGGCGGGCCAGGCTCTGACCCTCCTCTCACCCCTTCATCCCCAGTCCTGCTGTCGGCTGAGCACCCCCGGCCATCCCAGGACCTAGAGGCCCTCAGTGTGACTTTTGTGGGGACACCCATCCAGACATCCACGCCCATCAGCCCTGCCATGGCCTTCTCCTATGGCATCCCAGATCCCCAGACCCAGACCAATGTCCGTCAGGGACAGTCCGCCAATGCCTACTCCAATGCCCCAGGCCCCACCGCCCCTGCTCCTGCCCCTCCAGCTGCTGCCATCAACTGCACTTCCTCTAGCTCAACTCAGGTGGCCCCAGGCACCACCCACTCCCCCACCAGGCCCTCACTTGCCGCCCACTCCCCAACCCGCACGTCATCCTCCCCTGCTTCATTCCACGACGCCCGGGCATCTCGCGCCTCAGAAACATCCCGGAAAAGCACCCTGGAGCTGGACCGGAAGCTGGCCCACCGCAAGACCAGCAAGTTCCCCGACAGCCCCCGAGGTGAGCACCCCGGATGATCCACCGCCTCCCGGGCTCCCAGGCTCAGTGGCTCCGCTAACACCCGTCTCGTCGCAGAGTCCAAGCAGCCGGCCTGGGAGCGGCTGGTGGGGGAGGTGGCCTTCCAGCTGGACCGCAGGATCTTGTCCAGCATCTTCCCGGAGCGTGTGCGCCTCTACGGCTTCACCGTCTCCAACATTCCTGAGAAGATCATCCAGGTTGGTGGCCACCCTGGGGATGGGGCCTGCAAGTCCCCGAGGGGCCACAGGGCACTGCCAGGGCCAAGTGGGGCCAAACCCCAAGGACCCCTGGGACTCAGGAAGCCTAGTCCCCAGTCCAAGGGGCCAGAGGGTGTCCCAATGAGCCCGGCAGGAGGATCCCAGGCCCCCCCAGAGAAGGAGGGGCACAGGAAGACTCAGGGCCCCACAGGCCGCTCTCCTCTTTACCACCTCAGACAGCCTCAGGGTGGCCGCTCTCTCCGTGGCCCAGAGGCCTGTAGTGTACGGTGGCCCTCCCGGACCTGTACAGCCAAAGGCATGTCCCTGGCCCTGCAGGTCTCTCCAGGGACCTGCACTCCAGGCACCTCAGGCCTGGCTCATTCCACTTCCCCCTGCTCCTGTGGGGGGACACCGAGGGAGGACCTTCCCCAGCTCCCTGCAACTTGTCTCCTTGCGAATGTGAGAGGCAGGCAGAGTGCTGCCTGAGGACCACTGCTCCCTCCTGCACCTCCACACAACACAGGATGGCAGCGGGGGTGCTGGGTGGTGCCCCACAACGCCTCCTGGAAAGCTGCC